CCAGCGACAAGTCGCTGAAGCACAAACCGAGGGGGGAAAAAAAGGGAAAAACTGTAATTTTCTGAGAAAATAGGGATTTTCATTTTTTAGCAAAATATACTAAATGAAGTAATGACGAATCCACTCCATGTTTTAATAGCAGTTTCAGGGGCTTTAAAATGGTAATCTTTGTGTATGAATTCAGGCTGTAAAAAGAGCCGACAAGCGTTTCGGCAGTGGTGGGCAGCGGTAATCCAAAATTTACCTCCGCAATTTCTAAAGCGCTTATGAAAATATTTAGGTCTGCGACTTCAAAAACGCTTATGTCTTGGAAAAATTAGCGGAAGCTAAATTTAAAGCACAAGTTCAATTTGATACTTACTAGCGGACAATTCATGTACAATATGCACAATACTGCCAACTAGCGGTGTATGAACCCTTGTACATTGTCTCATTATGATTAACAAATGCTTTAAACATCCTTAGTTAAACAATAAATGAATCATGAACAGAACAGATTGTTTCTGTTAATATCTGATTAGAGAGAACTGAAGTCCTCGTGTGTAAAATGACCCGTCATGGCCTAAAATAAGAGTCCAGCGTTCCTGCCAGTTCTCAGGCCTGTGTGAGACCTGCTTTGAGGCAGTAATTCCTGTTTCTTCACTCGAGGTGACCCCTACAAGCTTAATCCTACAACTGCTGATTGCTGGGGATCTGATTTCCTGTAACAGAACTTTAGCTCCTGGTGTAAAAATTAAAACGTTGTTGAGGCTTGCTAGTTCGGCTGCTTCTTTAAAAAGTTGATGAGGATTGCTAGTTCGGCTGCTTCTTTAAAAAGTTGATGAGGATTGCTAGTTCGGCTGCTTCTTTAAAAAGTTGACGAGGATTGCTAATTTGGCTGCTTCTTTGTCTTTTTCTTTTGCTTGTTGTAGACTTTTCATTAAAGAAGCATCAATAAAGTAATTTTAAAACTGTTTATTGGAAAACTGAAGCGATGCATTCTGGGTACATGACGGACTGACGGGAAACGAAAGCACGGGGAATAGGAAACGAGTATCTTCCCTTCAAAATAAGAGCTTGGATTTTAAAGTTTTTCATGTTTCCACTGGATTTTAAAGTTTCCCAGTTCACCTGAAACTCATCAGACTGAAGAAGTCTCTTGGAGGAGAGACTAATTGTTTCACTAAAGAAGAACCCATCCAGAAGACCTACTTATTTTTTCTTTTTGATTTTTTTCTACCTGGATCAGGACATTTTCCATGTAGTTGCTCCAATTGACCACTAGATGTCAGTCTTCACCAGCTTAAGATCTTTAAATCATTTTTGAGCTCCAGCATTCAAACTTTTTTWTAAAGGAGCTCCAATTGTAAAGTAAAATAAATCAATGCATACAAAATTTTAGTATGGATTACAAACATTTACCGTACAGTTTTTGCTGTTGCCTTCCTGCTACGTAAGCAGACACAAAGCATTGTGGGAAATCAGAATCGTGGCTCAAAGCAACAGTCAGCAAAGATGTATACCTTCTCAGTTGTGTTTATCTGGGAGGGGTGCGGTAGGATAGATCACGTGTGTTGTGATTCATTGACAGCCATACCTTCCGCTGTTCAAGATAATGATGACAGGTAGATAATTAGTTATTAGCGGTACTGCATTTTAATTTTAGAAAGCGCAAATCTGCTTATGAATTATAAAAATTAGTAAGTCAGCTAAAGTGCAAATGAAATATTTAGGTCCGCAATTAGCGGATGTGCGCTTTAGCGGGCTTGTGCCCACCACTGCGTTTCGGGGAGGGGGGCCTCACAGCTGATTAACATGCCGGTTCTGCGGCTGTTCTCAAGCTGTTAACACGCCTTTCTTATTGGTTTCGGCCAGTGAGCTGCAGGTATTAAAGKAYCACATGGCTACTTYAACTAGTTAGTAACGCTGTTTTGTTCTGTTTTTAATGTAAATCAAGAAGGATCGAYAARGCAGCTCCAGGGCCGAACCACAGCACGTCACAGTGGCAGAAACATTTWCACCAAGCAAGGCAGACACCAAGGAGTTTCAGAACATTTTGTTACAGGAGGTGAGGGATCGACAGACACTAACCTCCAGTTTAAATCTTGTAACTCGACACGTCTTTAGAACAGCAGTCCAGTTGCTTTGTCTTTTTTTCTTTTCATTTTCCATGTCCTGGTCATCAACAAAAAGTAACGTCTTTCTTTGCTCGCGGTCCCGTATTCAAACTCGTCACCTCGTTGCAAAAAAAGGTCTTTTAAACCTTTTAAATAATAATTGTGCTTGTGGTGTTACAAAAATCAAGCTTCTGTCTTGTGAGCTTTTTTCTGCACACTTTCCTAGAGCCTACTTGTGTTGACAGTCAGTGCTCGGGGGGGTGGGGTTAATGCAAATTAATGAACAGCCATTGTTAACACCCCCAGGAAGCGCCCACTGGTGGGGACAATTCCTCTGAAACTTTGAGGCCTGTTTTCTCTGTAATCTTGTTTGCAMATTACCAACATTCAAATGTCCATATCGTCTTATTTTTGACTGCCATGTGTTTGACATTGTTGGATAGCTTAGAGCCCACACTTTCAGATTCTGTAAATACCAGTAACTAAACACCCCAGGGGAGACTTGTTGCTGGTTTACCCGTGGCCAGCCACAAATGTGAACAAAAATAAATCATGTTGCCTTTAGCAAATGGAACATTTATAAGCAATAAACACAAATGTGCAAATTGAACATTTGTTGCTTGTTTTAATTAACAAAGAGGTTTAATTTCCCACAGATTCATGTGACAGTGCCATGTTCAGTTCTTGTGTTATTACCTCTGCCAAAGAGGATATGTTTTCAGTCTCGTATGTCTGTCTGTGGACAAAATTACTCAACTATAGGCGGATTTTCATGAAATTTTCACCACAGGTGGGTTTGCACTCTCTGAGTGCGTCTAGTTGTGGTTTGTTTCTCACAGATATTGATCATTTTCAACCTTTATAGTTCCTGTAGTAAATAATTCTGAGGTTTTATTTATAAGAACATTATCCATTCTTTATCAGGTTAAAGTCTGATCTACACCTAATCAACATAAAATCAAAACTTTGTTTATTGTGCTTTGAGGACAGGGTAATCTAAATGTTAAATAACTAATTGAACCATAGAAAAAATTCATAAAGGATTTTGTGTTGAAGGACTGTAATTGTTTTGAATTAGTCGTTGCAATCACTGCAGGGTGTCGGGTAAGGACAGCAATTTCCCATGTTCAGGTGAGTTGAGGTGAAAAGATAAATGACTACGTCCAGAATAAATGTTGAACTTCTGTTTAATTTGGCATGGTTGTAGGTATATGTGTGGTTTTCCTCAGTGGACGCACACTACCACCACCGATTAATGAGGACTCCACCATTTTGAAATTGCTCTGAACACGTGTGCAG